AAAATTTTGCGAGTGGGGGTGGGAGCATGTATCTGCAGTTTTTACGGGGTGGCATGGGGTGAGGGTAACAAAAAAAAAAAAAAAAAAAAAAAAAACCCATCCACGTCATCGTTCGATTATCCAAAAAAAAAAAAAAAAAAAACAAAAAACAAAAAACAAAAAAGAGCCACGATGACAGCGAACGACGACGTGATAAAAAAGTAAATTATCATGATTATGATCACGAGAGCAAAGAAGAGCTCACCTCCTGCGAGCGACAAGCTCGACTTGTCGCTGATCCTCCTGCGAATGGGCCCAGCCAAGTTGGGCATGCTCGGCATGCTGGGCAGACCACCGGGCATGTTGGGCATGGGGGGCATGCCTGGCATACTTGCGATGCCCGTCAGCCCGGGTGGCATACCCGGACCCGAGGCTGGGGGCAATTGGCCACCCGCCGGCGACCTCACCGACGAAACGAGGCTCGATATCGAGACTGGCGAGACTTGCGACATACCCCCAAAGTTTGGCGGCGGCTGGCCCATCAAACCCGCGGACAAGCTCATCTTCGGCATACTCGGCGTGTTCTGCAATTACACAAGGGAGGATGTATTTTTTCTTTCATTTTCTCCCAAGTGCAGGTTGGTTGGCCGTCATAGGAGGCTTACCGATGACTCGGAGGATTTGGGGAGCTCAGGTGAGGCCATCTGCTTGGCCATGTGCAGGTGGTGCATCATCGCCGCGAGCCTGTCGCGCTCCTTCTGCAACTGGATCTCCAGTTGGGAGACCACCTGCATCTGGACGCGCGCCTGCGCCGTTGATCTGTCGTCGAGCGTGTGTTCCGTGTTCAGGTGTCTGCAAGCACGAGTTTTGCGCGGGGCACTTTTAACAATTTTTTATTGTTTGTTACTGCAAGAGCTCGAATAGTGACCGGTGGGGGGGAGGAGTCCAAATTATTTTCATAATCCCCTTTTCTTCCCTTTTGGGCGGGTGCGCGCGGAGCAGATTGGGGCTAAGGAGAAGAAGATTGGAAAGGAGACCGAAAGAGAGAGAGAGAGTTCGCGCGAGCGCAGTGAATATTAATGGGACAAAGGTAATTAGTTACGCGAGGCTCCCCCCATCCTGCGTTTCTTATTCCTCGGTCTCCTTTTTATTCCAAGCGAGAGACGCCCGCTGATTACTACCCTTCTGTAATGGTGTTGGAGGGGCATCAAAGGCACCGCGAAATTCCCATCGGACGCGCTCGATTGACTGGAACCCCCCTCCCCCCCACTTTGTTTGTTGCTTATGGATGGCCATTGTAACAACTTACTTGAGGAACGCCTGGTACTCGTCGCACACGGCCTCGCAGCCGGGCCACTTGCACACCCCGTGCCCGTAAAGCTGGTGCTGGAGCTTCTCGTTGCTCGCGTCGAGCGGCTTGTCGTCCATCTGTTGCGCCGTGCCGTTCAGCTCGGAGCGCCCACGGCTCGACACTAACGAGTTAAGAAGGCCTGCGTTGACCGATTTTTGGTTTGATTTTTTTTTTTTTTTTTTTTTTTAAAGAAACGAAAAATGCGGAGGAAAACAAAGAAACAAACAAACACAATCGTACTCGTTAATGTTGTGGAAAG